ACGCACGCACGCACGCACGCACGCACAGACACACACAGACACACACAGACACACACAGACACACACACACAGAGACACACAGACACAGAGACACAGAGACACAGAGACACACACACACACGGACACACACAGGCACACACACACACACTCACTCACATACACACGCACACATACCCACCCACACACACACACACACATACACACACACACGCGCACACACGCACGCATGCACGCATGCACACACACACACAACAAACAATCACGCAACCTGCACAACTGAGACGAAGGCTTTGCGTGAGCGGAAGAACCGGGCGCGCATAGAGATGAGCTGCCACAGACACACAGACAGCCCGACGTTCAAGTATGACCACACTGCTACAGAAGAAGCTGCCTGCATGTTACACCGCCCGTGGATAACCTCAGGTCATCAAACAACCAAATTCGAAGACGGCGCTCAATCCGCCATTCACTATGCCGCTAATCCCAAGGCTCCCTCCACGGGGCGGCGCCCGTAACCGAAGTGAGGTGCGCGTACACCCTGAGTCTCACATCAGATGGCGACCGAACCAATCTGTTCAGACAGCCAGCCTCCGGCAGCGGCTTTGCAACCCCTACGCACAACACTGGAATAGGGGAAGCGGAAAGATTTTAATTCACTTCAATCAAACGCAAACCAAAACAGCCTCGTCGATTCACCCGGCGCATGAAGCGTACCTTAGCTACAAGAGCGCAAGCCCGCTCCAGAAAGTCCACGAGCTATGCGCACTAGAGACCATCCCTCGCACACATGGTGCCAGGAGCACGGCATCCTGAACCGTGCCGGCTGAAGGAGCAGCCTAACACCATGTCCGCAGGACGGCCACACGTGCTACGAGCAAAACGGACTTCATCACATGGACTAAGAGACTCGTGCGCGCTTGGCCAAACCAAGCCTCGGCCGCAGTTTCACACGCACACGGGTAGACACACACACACACACTCCATGGCAATAGTTTATGTAGTTGCCAGTTGCCGGAATGGCGTTGGACACGGTGACCTCAGCGAAACGCAGCCAACTTCAACCGATGTTCTCGAGCCGTCAAGCAGACACCTACTCAAACTGCTATACGAGGCAAGGGCTGCTCACCTATGATGATATAATTAGCCTACCCGGTTTTGAGTGGGTCACTCGTGTGTAGGATACTGCCGACATGTGGATGCAATACGTTTAAAGAAAAAGAATGCTGCCCCGCAGCACGAAACCACACACCAAGGCCACAGAACTGCAACAGTCGCCACCGCAAACGCTACAAGCCACTGGTCGCTCTTCCCCTCCTAGCGTCCGTACAGCACAACAAACTCAGAATGGAAACAAGGAGCGTACAACATGAAGTCAGAGAAGAGACTGCCCAACAACAACATGGCTTTTCACGATTGATCACAAACGACAGCAAGCCAAGTTAAATCAAACAAAAGGTGAAACAAGCCAAGCACGTCTCGGCGTTGGAACCGGTCCTGACATCCAGCGAGACATCCAACGAGCTCCGAAAGGCTGTTTCCAAGAAATGTTTCAGTAGCACACGGGCGCGGCTCCAGCACAAGGCCTCGACCGATTAACCTCAGTCGAAACAGCACACATAACACGCATGCCCAGCCTGCGCCTTCAATGCGACCCTTCCCAAGAGCCACACTCGACCACCAGTGACAGGGGAAGGGCGCTTCCACCTCAAAAATATCATGCATCGCACTGCAGCTTTCCGTTATACTAAGATTGTTGTTGGAAGACAGAGACACAAAAATCTGAGCAAAGCACCGGCCAAAGCGCCGAGGGTCTATGTGGATGGCCTCCTTCTCCACCTGACTAAACCGCATACGCGGTCATATCTATCTATCTAACTATCCATCGTAAATGGATATACATAAGTATGTGTATATATATATGTGCATATGAACATGCACATAGATAGATAGATAGATAGATAAATACATAGATCGATATGTATATACACAGTACATGATCATATACACATCTGCATATGCATGTGTGCTATTGGATATACAAGTAGGTTGTGCATTTGCGGATGTGTTGCGGGTTGCTGACATGAGTGATTTTATGTTCGCAGCGTGTGCTACCAGCTTTCTTCTGGCTTCATAATGTCAACATCCTTTCTGGTTTCATGTGCAAGACGAATCTAGGTCCGTTGCTCTTGCGACTGCTACCGGGCATCAACAAACTCCATGCCAACATGAATACATGAACACATGGATTGCACTTCGTTGCGCTGCTTTACTTAACAATTTCAACTCTCTTGCATTCCACTGCACATATATGGCACTAGCACATACAGTAGCAAACTACCAAAAAGTCAGTACACACGTACTTGCTTGCAAACTTACACACATGCAGATGCATGCACACGTGCAGGATCATGCAGGCTTACATGCACGACGTGAATATGTATGTGAGTCTGGCGAGTCAGGCGTATATCCGCTCCCCGAGGATCGTAGGGGTCTGGGACCAGGTGAAATGCAGGCGGTTGGAAGATTCGTGCGAATTGGCACCGAGGATCTTTGTACAGCCAGAAGCTGACTGCCTTCCGGACGGGAACATCGCAACCGCCTAACTTTATACGATTTTATCTCTAAGAGCTTGGCACCAACTTGATTTCAGTGCCATCAGATCCTCTGGCAAGGGACGAGCCGTGGCAGAGGGGCATTCCACACTTCGCCTGGCTTTCAGCCACCGACTGTGCAGCCGAATTTCGATGGGACAACGATTGGGCAGCCCTTGGAGTACCGATCTCCAAATTCGCGGAATTCTGCACAATGCAGTCACTTGCACGGAAAGGGGCTCGTAGTAGCATATGATATGGTACAGCATGGCTTTATACTGTAGACCGCTCGAAGGGCCATCGATCTCGAAGCTACCGAGTAAGCCACACCACGCATATAGGTGCGTGAATGCAAAAATCTCGTCCCATAGGACTGCAAGAACCGTTCCAGCTCGGAGCTGACAACTTATTAGTAAGCTTAGGATCTTAATGTCGCTTCCTCTTGAAAACAGCGCAGCAGGACAGCAAGGACGGGACACAAACTATTTCAGAGCCTCAAAGGTGCTTTGGCGCCCAGCACAACACTCTGCCACATCAGCTTACAGCTCGTGGCTCTGCTCCAGAGCTCTTGCACGCGTGCACCCTGTGACTCCATGATGCTCATTACAAAGACTGGGACCCAGTAAAGTCGCGGTGAGGATGTGGCTTCAAGTGTCAGAGTAGGCTGCAGCATGGCGAGTGTCTGACCCGGCCCGGATCTGCGCCGCTAGCGTCCGTTGATGAAACATCTGCGTAAGCTTCACGCATCTGCAGATCGTAAGGGCCGTCTCGAAGGCACTCTCACTGACGAGGCCGGAACTTGGCGAGAGTGCGTAGTCGCACACGCGTAGGTAACGAACGAAACGAGGGCTCAGCAGGCCTGACGGAACTAACATCCCCATGACACTGCCCCGCGCACTCTGCAATTCCTGTTTGCTTTGTTCGGGTCCTTGTGGTCGAAGCACACCTTTGGCACCCTTGCAGGTGCTGGGCCTCGCGGGTGCGCTCAGGATTGGTTCCATACAGAGGTCCGCAACGACTCTAGCCCGAGAAATGCCTTCTTCGCCCTTGCAAGCCGACAAGCGGCAACGGGGCCAAAAGGACAGGGCTTAGTCCGAGACCTGGCTACCTGGCACATCTCTTCGAAAGATCTCTGGCCAACCTCGGATGACATGTCAGTCAAATCAGCAGTCGGGAGGAGACACAGAGAAATCCGTGGGTGCAAAGCGTCGGTGCAACTTTAGCACGCTGTTTTTGTCAGTGCTCGCCATCGTCGGCAGCGAGTTTGCTTTTGCTTCAGCATCCCAGGCACTGGCCTGAAGGAACAACAACACTTGTCCAAGGCATCTCCACAGACCGTTGACAGGCTACCGCAAAGGCACAGAGCTGCTGGAAGATGTTCACTAAGACGCTACGAACGGTAGTGGCACGACCAGAGTCGGAGTGTCCTTTGAGATCGCCGGGTGCTCCAGCCATGGCCTGGCACCTGCGGTCACGGAGTCACACGGAGTCACGACTCTCGGAATGCATGCGGAAGGCTCTGCATGCGATGTGCCGAGGCACTCCACATCACTTGGACTGCCGTCATTTGGTCCTGGGGCAATTGGAGCAACACAGTATGGGTAGCTGTACTTTCGAAATTGATTAACCTCCTCGCGCAAACCAACATCACCTGCAAGGACGGTCCGACTCGGACCGCTGTGATAAGCCGGAGACGAGCTCTGCCTGGCGAGTTCTCTGCTCCCCACTCGTTTGGTCCTTTGGTCCAGGGGCAGGTCTCGCGTTTACAATGTGGTGTGGTCAGGCTCGCAGGATCGATCAGGCTTTGCAATGTTTTGCAATCATACTATGAACCAGCTAGATTTCGCAGAGCAGAGCGAGGGCAATGCTCACGGCCCACATGAGGCACTTCTTGGCAAGATCTGGGCTCTCAAGAGGGGGCTACTCCAAGGCGGTGCTCGCACGATGATTTTTGGAGGTTGCCTGTGGCAGAGAGCAATCCAACTGTGAGCAGGTGTCGTTTCTTGGACTGGCTGTCTGGGTCAAACATGTCCCTGCCTTTGGCAGGCCTAGTTCAGCAACGCGTTCCAGAAGCTTTTGCAATCCTGGACTCCAATCTGCTGATTTCTCTGCCTTCCATGCTGCTGCAAAGATATTCTCTGCCGGGAAAGCTTCCATGCATCTCTCTGCACAAGTGTTCTGCATAACTGCAGCACATCCCACCAGCATCTCGCGCAAGCATTCTCCGACACTTGATCTTGGCTGGGTGAACGCATCGCAAAAAAAAGGCACAAAATCGAGAAGGTCTGCCAATTGGCAGTGACCTTGTGGGCTGGGGACTGACGGCTGCAATGTCTGTACAAGATTGTACAAGGGGGAGTCAACTTTGGGACTCTTGCACTAGGCCATCTGGTGAAGTCTCGTGCAAGCTCATCGAGGGGAGCTGGCCTGTGATAAGGTTGCTGCGGCTTTTGCTGGTGGACCAGCCCCTGCTGAGGCTGGACGTTTCGGAGGGGAGTCTGCCTCTTGCGAGGGCTGAGGAGCCCATTGCTTAGCCGTTGCTGGTGCAGGTGGGCCGGGAACAGTGCCGGTTGGGGGGGTGGCCAGCATGGCCTTTGGAGGAGAGTCTTCCTTTGGCGCCGTCTTTGGTGTTGCCGGCAGTGTGCCGGGAACCGGGCCGGCTGGAGGCGAGGCCTTTGCAGGAGACTCGGCCTTTTGCGCTGGAGTCTCTGGTCTTGCCGGCGGACCAGTTGGAGGGAAGGCTTTTGCAGCCGAGTCTTCCTTTTGCGGGGTTTCTGGTCTTACCGTTGGTGGAACGCTGGCTGGGCCGGTCGGCTGTGAGGCTTTTGCAGGAGGGTCTGAGTCTTGCGTCGGCTGCGACGAAACAGGTGCAGCCGAAGGGGGTGAAGTTTTGGTGATGGGGGGCGAGCTTGTTGAAGGTGCTCCGGCAGTGCTTGGAGCACTGCTAGCAGGAGGTGAGGCTTTTGGAAGGTCTGGGGAAGCTGGTGATGCTTTGGTGGTTGTTGGTGCCACAACCGCTGTACCGACGGAGCTGAGGATGCTTGACGTTGCAGGGGCAGCCCTCAGTATACTCAGTAGACAGCCAAGGCAGTCCGAACCAAGCTTCAACAAAGGACAAGCATGTCCAACTAGTGGCTACCGAGCATCGGCTGCCCCGGGCTCGCCCCAGGACCTGCAAGACTGCTGGCATGAACTGGATGCAGGGCAGCCTCTTTCAGAACTTCCGAACGACAAGTTCTTCAATCGATCCCTGACAATTGCACCCCCGACTCTAAAACCCGAAAGTGGAGAAAACCTTTCATGGACTTCCAGGCGGCTTCGTCCTCTCCAGAGCTCCCTCTTTAAAACTCTGGCTAATGCAGGGATCCTGCACTGCGACTTCCCTGCCTGGGCCCACTGCCTTGCCCACTGGCAGAGCCTCCACACCTTCATTCGCTGCTCTCTGCTCTGCTCTGCTCTGCTCTGCTCTGCTCTGCTCTGCTCTGCTCTGCTCTGCTCTGCTCTGCTCTGCTCTGCTCTGCTCTGCTCTGCTCTGCTCTGCTCTGCAAGTTTACACTTCCCCTCTGCTCTTCGATGACCTGCGTTCGCGTTTTCCCGGTTGGCCTTGTCCTGGCCAAAGGAAGGAACGGCGGAAAAGTACGACGCTCTTTCGCTACTGTATGAGTCTTCAATCACGTCGAGTTCCAGCCTTCTCCAACCGCTCCCATAGCGGACCGCCACGAGACTCTATCGCCTGAGAGCATCTTCTCACTCCCTCCGAAGTTAGCATAGTCCTGGATCTGGGACCCTGCCAAGTGGTGAGGTGCTCTGGTAAGCCGGTCCGATGAACTTTGCCGGAAAAGCCACCGAGACATGTCTGGTGGACAAGGGCCTTGTAGACTTCGGCATTGTAAACTGCTCCAAAGACCTGCCAACAGACTGACTCTACCAAGCTGCTTCTGACTATCGAGACGGCTGTCAATGCGCAGAGTGTGTGTGTGTGTGTACCAAATCACATACTAGGAAGCCGAAATGACCTCCCTCGAGGCATGACCTTTGATCTGACCTAACGAGCAACACAACAAATTCCTCACCCGTGGCTGAAGTCGCAAGCGGCGCCTTTCTGCACGGGCCTTAGTGGCCAACTACAAGCAGTGTTACGGGTAGCCTTGAAGCCCCAGCCGTGAAGAACTGGACTCACAGTAGAGCATGCCAGTGTCCAGCAAAGTCTGCGAGGATGCTTCATGTCTGTGTGGAGCAGAACAAGGGGCTCCAGGCCCCGGGCAGTTCTTTCCACGTCGTACCCAGGCCGGCAGGTATTTTTGGGCGCATTTGCAGTCTTTATCCTGCAAGGATTGCGGATCGTCCTTGGAGCCGGTGATCATGCGGTTGACCGTGTGCCAATTTTAACTTGGGCTAGCTCAATCACTAGCTCACGCCACGCCCTGCAGGTCCACAGACTGAGTTCACCGCATTAGGACAATCGCATTTAGGCATCGGCGAGGGTCGAAACCTTAACAGATCATGTACGTGACAACTCCGCGGCAAGAGTCCAGGACCACCGTGAGATTCGGGCAGACGCGGATCGCAGGTACAGACCTTGGCACAGTGTGGTGCAGTTCAGAACCCAACGAAAGTGCTGAAGAATTTGAACAAAGCAACACGATTGATTGCCTTCTGCTGCCAAGCAGCACCCTCGTCGTCGACACGCCCCCGCCTGGACTTACAACAGTAGATGCCAAGATATGCCAAATGCGGCTTGCAAGCTGGATGCCTCGGCGCGCGAGCTAGCGGCACAGCTGCATCCGTTGCCTGGGAACCTGCAGGTGGAAGGCTGCAAGGGGCTTGACGACAGAAGACATTCGAAGTTAACTGAAGTAGCTCCGCCGCAAGCAAGGCCTATCTTTTGCAATCGTTTGCACAAGGAGCCCTGCAGCTTGGGCATTGGTTGTTGCGCACACTTGTGAATGCCGGCGCGAACTGGTGGAATGCATTGGCAAAGCGGAAGGATTTGGTGTCGTGAGCGAGTTGTCGCATCGCCATCGGGCCTGTGCTCTGTAGGGTGAAACCTGCAACAACCACAGGATTGTCGATGCCGCGGATCTTGACCGGACTGTGGCACAGCCAATGTCAAGAGGCGGCGAATGCGAGCGGAAGCAAGTTGTCCGCTGGACTGCCAGCTCTGTGCCAGCCCTGCTTTTGGTCGCCATGGCACGGCCTCCCGCGGTTTTCTTCGGGACTGAACTGGAGTTCTCCCTGTCGGCTTTTGTCGCGGAAACAGCGGAACCTGCACCTTGTGAGAAGTTCCCAATAAGTTGTGGCGCACATCCTTCGCATCATCTTGCATCACTCTACAGTGACTCTACAGCTTGGTGTCACTGTCGGCCGCTGGTGTGGCGATCGATGGCTGTCGCTAACTGTTGAGGCTGCACCACTGCACGACCCGAACAAGTCACGCCTGCTGAGGCAGCAGAGGCAGCCGTCGCACGAGAGGCCTGGCACACTGCAGCATTGACAACTCTGGGAAACTTGCTCAGGTGTACAGTACGTGGATGAACGGGCCCAACAGACAGCAAACGAGCCGTTAAAGAAAACACTCGCAGGGCTACCGATGAATGCACCGCGGATCCACTGGCCACAGATCCACCCGCCGCGGATCCGCCCGCCAGAGACTTCGCCCCAGACCTCGGACGGAGCAGCAATACGTCGTAATTTTCGGAACTCGCGACTTCAACTCTTGTGAACGCAGACAGGCAGTCCTCCGTGCTGTGTCGGGTCTACTACATCTTCTCCGGCGCCTCAGGCCTTCACCCGTCAGCAGGTGGATCTGAACAACTAGCTACTATACGCTGCAAAACGTAGGGCAGCCATCACAGAACTGCGGCAGCTTGAAGGCACCGTCTCACCGTCTTCGCACCAGCGATGACTACATAAGCGTGTTTAACTGCGGCCAGATTCGGCATTACCAAGCACAGACCAGAGCCAGCTTCCCTATTTACTCATCTAGTCTTCGTTTGACTGCCAGCCATCATGCTGCCAAGCAAGCCTGCAAGATTTCGTGCGTCGTCAGACAGGCACGCAGGAATAAGCTTTAGAAGTAACCCACTCTTGATGAAGCTGATATTGAGCCCGCACCCGTCCGCAGTACTAACCACCGTACTGGCAGGCTGTGGAGGCTGCATCAACATACGACAACTAATTGTTCTTACTCCGTTGCTATGTCTTTGCCAGCACGTGCCTGTCGACATTCTCAGCAAGGCCTCTTCAAAAGCTCTCAAAACCAAGATGAAACATGGCACATCTGCTTGGCAGATGACTGCAATGTCTCTTAGGCCTGTGCCACAGTCACTTGGTGACTGGCAAGTATGGACTCTTGAACTTGCTACTCTTGTAGCTCGCTCAAATTGTGCTTGCTCCTCATCTTCTTGTGTTGGGGCGACCGGCCGCCCAGGAGTGTTCTCGGCGATTGCTCAGTCAGGGAGGAGCCTCGAAAAAAAGGGTGTGCGGAATGCGAGGCTGTTGTCGGAAAGGCATGAAGGACCCAAGAGCCTAGTCTCAGGGCCGCAATCTCCTGCTTCAGGAAGTGTAGCTCTGTCTCCATGTAGGTGTGGAAGCGACCCTGGCTTTTGATCATCCAGGTCTGGTCCTCACGCGGCTGCTCTCGGTTCAAACGGCGGGAGAGCCCCGCCTTTTGCAACTCTCTCCCCCTCTCTACGGGCTTGGGGCCGTTTTCGAGCAGCAACAAAGATGGTATTGAAAGGACCTCTCCCAAGAAGACGAGATTCATGCATGATCTTGCCAATGTCCACCGCCCGCGCCTGCCAGGAAGCACAGACTGCTGCGACACAGAAGGCACGAACCAAAGGTGCGGTCATGCTAACTCCGGCGGAACGGCGGTATCCTCGCCTGTCCCCGCAATCGAAGACACCCTTTAAAGAACTCTTCAATCTCGACAGAGCCACCTGCGCGTGCAGTAGACTCCGACGGACACCACACTCCAATGTGTGGGGAGCAAAACAGGCATGAGCACACATGTCCTGCAACCGAAGTCAATGTCAGGCAAACACTAAACGAGGCTGATGCCACGCACCTCCGTCGAGATCGAGCAGTTTGAAGAATGACCAGGCGTCCCAAACCTGAGCCCCGTAGCAGCAGTAGTAGTAGTAGTAGTAGTAGTAGGAGTAAGAGTAGGAGTAGGAGTAGGAGTAGGAGTAGAGGTAGCCGCCCTCGCCGAACTCAGGGAGCCCATGGGCTTGCACCAGACGCCGCACGCGGAGGTTGCAAAGCAACTAACCGGCCATCTCTTCAAACTGCTCAGCACAGTCGTTCCTCACATTCTTCCGCACCAGCAATGAGCTGCGCATCATGTCGTTGTAGGGCCGAGAGCGCGACGCCTGAGTCCTTTTCTTGTTGTTGTTGGTGTTGGCGTTAGTGTTGGTGTTGGTGTTGGTGTCGCCGTCGCTGTCGCTGTTGGTGGTGCTGTTGTCCAGCAATGCAGTCGCGTGACACTGCCCTCGCCAACGGCCTTGTGGCCAGTGTGGGCTTGCAGCGGAGGGAACTCGCTTGCCCGATGATAATGACGATGATGGTGATGACGATGACGATGATGATGTTGATGATGGTTGTGACGATTGTCATGACCTCCACCTTTCGATGGGGGGGGGAATGCTGCGACTGCACATTCCAAGTTGAACTCGCATTCTTGCCAGCACTTCCCGGATGCCAGCTAAGCTAAGTTGCACAACACATTATGTGCCCCCTCCCCTTTTTGAAAGGCAGTCCTGGCTGCACGGCTTTCCCTTCTAGCAAATCGAAAAAGCGGACGTGGATTCGATATCATGCCTCGTAACATCCAGTCCAAGAGTTTCGAAGTACTCCCGTACAGCAGGCGAGTCGATCTTCTCCTCGAACATCGCGTAGGTGATAACACCAGAATCAGATGCACCAAGCTTGCCTCAGTCCAATATCGATGATCATAAACTAAGCCGTGCAATAAAAGGCTTTGTCAGAACCAAGGTGCTGAACAAGGCTCGTATTTCGTGCAGGTGCGCTTCCTGCCAATACAGCCAGCAAGGTCTCTGAAAAGGGTGGTGTTCATGCATGTGCGAACATCATCCCGATCCTGCTGTGTTGGGGATCCGAATATGGAGAGCAAGTTGCTACGTAAGCATCAAGTGAACCCACAGGCAAGCCTGCCAACACTGCCATACCAGCGGAGTCACACCTAAGACTAGGGTGCGTTGCAAAACTCGAAGCTCCGCGGCCAAATGCTTGATGGTCCTGTCGTTTCGTGGTCCTGGTAGCCTTGTCGCAGGATCCGTTCTTGAGGCGGCACCAAAGTAACGGTTCCGCTGATGCCAATATCCATGCTAGTGACTAGTGCCTGTCTCGGCCGCGGTGCTTCTTTGGGCAGTTGTGGTGGTGATGGTGGTGGATGTCAGGCACAAATGCCAGCGAAAGGAGCAGCAGTGGTAGTAGCAGCTACCAGTCGGAAGTCAGCAGTAAAGGTAATAGTAATCGTCGTCGTAGTAGGAGAAGGAAAAGGAGCAGTAGGAGTATCAGTAGGCGTACTAGTACGTGGTAGTCTTCGTCATCGTAGTACTAGCACGAGTACCATACCAAGTGCCGGCGTGCTCCCAAGCACGCCCTAATTCAACTGGGCCACCTTAATTTTTTGGCAGGGGGTGGGGGGATGATAACGTTCCTACAAGACTAAAATCACCACTGCTGCTACCGTTACTACTACTACTAGTAGTAACAAAGTCCAATTCGCGAAGAAGGCTTCTGTCAGAGGCAAGGATGGCTTGGCAGGAACTCAACTGGCCGAAGATATTTGGGAACATGTTCCGGACAGCATTCCACATTGTGCAAACTGGCCAGAAGACACATCTCATGGCGCGCATGTGCCTCTTTAAATGGATGTTCCACACCAAGGCCTTTACGGCATTGGCGAACTGCTGCCCATTTCCACAACGAAAGTAAAGAACCCACCTAAACCTTTACGACAAAGGTACCTCCTACTCCTGCAGTCTGGGAGCTTCCGCAAACTTTCGCGTGCAGCCTTTGGCAGAAGACTCACAGGACAACAGCTTTTGCTGTGACCTCCGGCCGTGCTGCTGAGCAGAAACACCCACATGTCTTCAGACACTTACACTTTTCAGGCTACAAAACAATCACTGTCCCCGCCACCACGACGACGACGACAACAACTACCACTGCTCTTTCTTGCGGGCCCGCCTCCAGCAAAATGTCAGAAGTTCAGGGGTGCGTGGGAGCAGACTGGCGGCTTGTACTATAGTACTAATACTGATACTAGTACTAGTACTGGTAGTAGTCGTCGTTGTAGTAGTAATAGTCGTCCTAGTCATCGTCGTAGTGGTAGTGGCAGCGGTAGTGATAGTGTACCGATAGGAGTAGTGGTGCTAGTCGTCGTCGTAGCCGATGTAGTTGTCGTCGTCGTCGTGGTGGTAGTGGTAGTGGTAGTGGTAGTGGTAGTGGTAGTGGTAGTGGTAGTGGTAGTGGTGGTGGAAGTGGTAGTGGTAGTGGTAGTAGTAGTGGGAGGAGGAGGAGTAGTAGTAGTAGTAGGAGGAGGAGGAGGAGTGTAGTAGTCGTCTTCGTATTGTAGCAGTAGTAGCAGTCGGAGCAGCCGGAGCAGTAGTAGCAGTAGCAGCAGTAGCAGCAGTAGCACTGTAGCTTCCTACCTAGGCAGCAGGCTGGAGCAGTGGCTGTGGCACTTGCGATGGTAGCAACAGTTGCTCTAGCAGTGGAAGCTCCTTCAGCATTCTCACTATCATTACCGCTATCATGTCCAATGTTTACTTGGAGCCGGATCACCATGAACCATCGTCATCGTCATCATCTTGATCTTCTCTGTTTTTCATCACGAACACATGCCGTCGTCCTATGAAGACCTGCCACAAAATTCCAAGCCCCATCCTCCCGCGAATTTGCTCATCATCCACATTGTACTGCTGATGCTAATTTGGGTTGCTGTTGTTGTTGCTGTTGTTGCCGGTGCTCCCCAATTTGGGGATCTTCCGATAGGAGGGATGCGAGACTTTGCCGCTTCCGAACTTGATGAATTGTGCTCCCGCCACAGTGCCTTGCAGGTTACTGGGTGTTTTCGGGTGAAAACCGTGTCCCGTTATGTTCCCGTGGTCATCTTGGCCTTGACACTGGTCGAAGTCGCTTGGTGGGGCCATGCTATGTGCCTCCCAGTGGATCGTGAGTGCCGGCGGCTCGATATCCGGCCTCTTCAAAGGGATTTTGCAATTTTCATTTTGGCAATCGTGCTCTGCCGTGCGCATTTTGGGGTGCAAATCCTGTGTGCTTCATTCAACCTCCCGAACTGGTGTTCCTGCCACGGTGCTGCAGGCATTTTGTGTGCAAATCGTGTTTTCGCCACGGGAGCCTGCATGGTGCCCGGGAACGTCTTGGACTGCTAGCAGCTCTTTCGCTGTTGGTTACGCTGGCAGCACCGTTTTCGTCGTTGTCGCATTGCATTGAGTTTCTAAATGAAGCCCGAAGTTTCTGCCTCGAAAAATCTCAACCCGAACTCTGTTGTCCTTGCTGCCTGAGCTCTGCCTGACCACTTTGCCCAAGAGGTGTGGAAATGCCAATGGGAATCGCCCGTGCCCTCAGATGGGTTTTGAGCGTTCGATACACGGAACAACAGTTCTGATTACAATCGGTCTTTATATCTTTGGAAGTAGACTGAGTCGAACCGGTTATGACAATGTGGGAGTCGTGCTCCTACCGGACAGGGACGGTTCCCGGCAAGCATATACCGTGTTGTCGCAAGCAGCTTGTGTAGCCCTTTTGAAGCTTTCGCGTGTCAGCGCGCCGACAGCGGCCCGTTCTAGAAGGACTGCAGTGCGAAGCTGAAACTCTGAAGCCGCAAGTTCTGGGAACTGTTCATCCAGAGACGACGGTCAAGTGGTTCATGTTGTCAGCACCTGCGTCTGAAGACAGACTGTAGTCACAAGTGGGCTTTGTCATCTTCGCAGCACGTTCCCCGACTCATCACCATGCCTGAAAAAGAAGCTGAAGAAAGCTCGACTTAGGTTCAAGGATGAATTTGGACGATCTCTTGCAGCACCGGCCAGCTACCAATCTTTTCGGCTGCATGTGCTCCTGAAGCATCAGACTGCAGGGTGACCGCTGTCTCGTCGACGGAAAGCGGCTGCATGTTCGATAGGAGGGGAGCTCGAAATTTAGGTACCACTCATGAGTGTTGCAATTTGGAAAAGGTTGTTGCCCTGTGTCAGAAATTCCCAGCTGATCTTCCAGTCGTCCAGTTTTTTTTGAAATTGCCTTGGTTGAGGGTGCTCGCTTGCTGCAGGGTTCATGAGTGTGAGCCGCAGCTTCGTTAAGGCCTTGGTTGGCACTGTACGAACCCCAAACCCATCACTTATTTGGGAGTACAGCAAACGGTGGCAACAACAAAACACTACATGCAGGAACAAGGCTAAGTAAGCATACTGACGAAGCCTTCAGCAACCGCCGCGAAAGAAACAACGACGTAGCCAACATGACCTGCACTCGTTGTGCAACCGCAGCCGCGACCGCAAGTAGCAGCAGCTGCAGCAGGCAAGTCGAGCCGTAACCACGCTCATGCCAAGGCACCAGTACCAGTAGTCCAGGTGCCTGTGCTGAACGGAGTCCAGCCTCCTGCTTCCAGCCATCAGGTGGGACGGGTTGGAATTGCAGCTTCTCTGTTTTAGCACATGGGTTTTTGTTGTGGTTAAAGTAGTAGTTGTTCGTAGAATTCTTATAGACAGGATCTTTGCATCAGAGATAAACTCGCAGGCGCCGGTGCTGAACGAAGTCCAGCCGCCTGCTTTCGGCCATCAGGTGGGACGGGTTGAATAGCAGCATCTCGGTTTTGGCAGTTGGGTCTCTGCCGTTATGCTTTACAGTTGTCACTATATTCTTAGACTTCTTAACATAGACTTGTCCATACTCGCCATGATGAATGTATGTTCGGTCTGACCAACCAGCAGGATTAGACTGTCTCCAAACTATCACCACAACGTCGATCAGCACCCATGCTACGCTTCTTTGGTGGTGTCTGCCAGCTTGGGCTCGATATCCTTTGCTTGTCTTCGCAGTCAAGACTGATCATATCGCAATGACTCTGGTGCACTGTGCATATCGACTGCTTCCAGTGTTGGTAAGCGTTAATCATGAGTGCTTCGCTCGTGCACAGCTTCGGATTCATGAACCCGTGTCTTCGCTGGTCTCTTCAGGTTCTGAACGGCCACACGCCCGCCCACGTCCTCTCCACGGAGCGACGGTCAGTTCTTGATGCAATCTGTCGGGATGCTGTGCCGTAAAGCCTGATGGTTTGTGTTCCTCAGCTATCTGTTTACCACCCACAGACTGGGCAAACTTTCAAACGAAGTCTTGTGGGTCTATCCTATATATATAAAATATGTGTATATATGTACATAACATATATATATATATGTATATACATGTACATGTACATGTACATGTACATGTATATGTATATGTATATGTATATGTATATGTATATGTATATGTATATGTATATGTATTTGTATTTGTATATGTATGCATGTGCGGGTGGGTGCATATGCATGCATGTGACCGTCATCGTGACTGTGTGTAGTTTGTGCAACTGCAGAGGTAGTCTTGAGAGCAGAACTAGTCTAACATGTTGTCTTTTTATCACTTTTATGGACTGTAGGTCATCTTCCCATGCCAATTCATTCTGTGTCTGCCTCTGTGCAAGCGCATGACATACCATGCAAGGCGACACTCTATGCTTCTTCTTGTACCGTACCTTGCACCAGACTTACATATCCACCCTGCCCTACTTCAGCGATTGAAGGCATGTTCTTAGAGTCAGCGAGCGTTGCAAAACCAGGGGATGGGCATCGAGGTGTTCCGAGGCCTCAAGTCGAAACTCCAAACACTTCGTTTGGGGCTTGATGACTCCAAACCATGACGGGTTGCCAGTACACCTACCTATGCAGTCAGCGAGCCGACAGCACTTTGGCAATCGTTGCGAAGCTCAAAGGCCGCGGCATAAGTCTGAGATGGAACATCAGAGAGTTCGGAGCTAAGGTCTTCAGACTGTGCCAACTAAGCTTATTTGAGGATGCTTCGGTTTAACCCGGAACCCCGAACCCGCAACACTCAAGCACAATCGCATCTGATTCTGGTGGTAGCTTCTGGAAAACAGGAGCCTCGGCACGACACCCGTTGGGCCGCTTGGGATCAGAATTCTCAGATTCTGTGAGTTGCTTCATTCTGGGTGCAGGTTTTAGTGTAGGTTTTAGGCTTCGGGGACGGCATGCAGTATGATGAAGTGAAGCCTAGCTCACTCAAACCTTTATTGTCTACTAGAGGCTTACTGTTTTCTTTTTCCAGCGGTTGTTCTGGTAAACGTGATGCCTGGTCTACATTCTAGTGTCAACACAAGACAGTACAGTGTAAGGCCACAGAACTCTGCACGAGACTTAAGACGCTTCGAGTTTTTTGCAAACGTCTATTGAGCTCAGAGTTCGGGATCGCAGACCTGAGCAGAAGTGTTGATTTTGGGGCATCGGGGTCCTTACCAGCGACGTACTACAACGCACCAAAACCCGAGACAACAAAAGCCACTTCAAAGATGAGTTGCTCAGGAGACCTTCACAGATCCCAACTCCAACAGCCTCTGGTTTTGGCACTCGGACTCGAAGGACGGAGATGTGCGAATTGGCAATCTCAAGCCTTCGTACTAGTACCCCAGTAGGCGCGCGAGCGCACGTCACATCGTCAAGCTGGTGTCCAAGTTTCCTGCGTGTGTTGCAATGCGACGGCTGGTCAGTCTATGCTATGACTACAACCATATCTCTGCGATCTCTTGTCGGCTGCAAGCAGGTCG